AAACGTAAAATCAAAGTTAGTCATAAATTTAAAACCCAAAAAGTATTCTGCTCCCTGGTTTTTTTGGGAAAAAAATCCCCAAAAAAGTGTATTTTGATGCTTTGTGTGAATAAAAGATGAAACCCAATCGAAGAAGGGGGGAAGTGGAAAAAGAGTCGAAAATTTGGGAAAAATTTTCCCCAATTTCCCAAAAATCCCTACTTGGAAAGCGCGAAAAACGAAATTTTTTTTTTTAAAAAGGCGGCGGACATGTGCGGGACGGAGGGGGATGGGCTGGGAAGGGGGCCCCAGACAAGGCGCGTGACCCATAATGGGAAAATTCCCTTTAAAGACATGTTATGCATTAGCCAATCAGCCGCCCCCCAGACGCACTGTGGTAATTGGGGGGGGCTATAAATAGCGGCCATTTTAGAATTCTCCAATTTGCCTCCAGTCCCATTCAAGAGAGGCGCAGACCGCTCTGTCTTAGGACAGAGTAGGGCCACAGAAACGTTACTTGGGGGACAGAGAAACGTTACTTAGGGACAGAGAAGCATTACTCAGGACACAGAATTGGTTAATGAGGGTCCACAGCAATCATTACTTAGGGCCAAAGAAACGCAAGTTAGGGCCACAGAATTGTTACTCAGGGACAGGACAGAATTGTTATTGAGTGCCAGAGAATTGTTTACTTAGGTCACAGAAACGTTAGTTAGGGCCACAGAATTGTTACTCAGGGACAGACACAGAACTGTTAGTTAGGGCCACAGAAACGGTTATTAGGGGCACAAGAATTGATTACTCAGGACAGACAGAATTGTTACTGAGTGCTCCAGAGAATTGTTACTTAGGGCCACAGAAACGTTAGTTAGGGCCACAGAATTGTTACTCGAGACAGACACAGAATTGTTACTTAGGGCCACACAGAAACGTTATTAGGGCCACAGAATTGTTACTCAGGGGACAAGACAGAATTGTTACTGAGTGCCAGAGAATTGTTTACTTAGGGCCACAGAATACGTTAGTTAGGGCCACAGAATTGTTACTCAGGGACAGACACAGAATTGTTACTCTAGGGCCACAGAAACGTTATTAGGGCCACAGAATTGTTACTCAGGGACAGACAGAATTTGTTACTGAGTGCCAGAGAATTGTTACTTAGTGGGCCACAGAAACGTTAGTTAGGGCCACAGAATTGTTACTCTGGGACAGACACAGTGGAATTGTTACTGAGGGCCACAGAAACTGTTACTTTAGGGCCACAGAAACGTTATTAGGGCCACAGAATTGTTACTCAGAGGGACAACAGAATTGTTACTGAGTGCCAGAGAATTGTTACTTTAGGGCCACAGAAACGTTAGTTAGGGCCACAGAATTGTTACTCAGGGACAGACACAGAATTGTTACTTAGGGGCCACAGAAACGTTATTAGGGCCACAGAATTGTTACTCAGGGACAGACAGAATTGTTACTGAGTGCCAGAGAATTGTTACTTAGGGCCACAGAAACGTTAGTTAGGGCCACAGAATTGTTATTACTCAGGGACAGACACAGAACTGTGTTACTGAGAGGGCCACAGAACTGTTACTTAGGTCCCACAGAACCGTTACTTAGGGCCACAGAATTGTTACTCAGGGACAGACAGAATTGTTACTGAGGGCCACAGAACCGTTTACTGAGGGCCACAGAAACGTTACTCAGGGACAACAGAAATTGTTACTGAGGGCCACAGAACCGTTACTTAGGGCCACATAAACGTTAATCAGGGACACAGAATTGTTACTGAGGGCCACAGAACCGTTACTTAGGGCCACAGAATTGTTACTCCAGGGACACAGAATTGTTACTGAGGGCCACAGAACTGTTACTTAGGGCCACAGAATTGTTACTCGGACAAGACACAGAATTGTTACTCAGGGACACACGTTACACAGAACTGTTACTGAGGGCCACAGAACCGTTACTTAGGGCCACATAAACGTTACTCAGGGACACAGAATTGTTACTGAGGGCCACAGGAACCGTTACTTAGGGCCACAGAATTGTTACTCAGGGACACAGAATGTTACTGAGGGCCACAGAACTGTTACTTAGGGCCACAGAATTGTTACTCGGACAGACACAGAATTGTTACTCAGGGACACACAGAACTGTTACTGAGGGCCACAGAACCGTTACTTAGGGCCACATAAACGTTACTCAGGGACACAGAATTGTTACTGAGGGCCACAGAACCGTTACTTAGGGGCCACAGGGAATTGTTACTGAGGGACAGTTACTTACACAGAATTGTTACTGAGGGAACACAGAATTGTTACTGAGGGCCAGTTGTTACTGAACCGTTACTTAGGGCCACATAAACGTTACTCAGGGACACAGAATTGTTACTGAGGGCCACAGAACCGTTACTTTAGGCCACAGAATTGTTACTCAGGGACAGACACAGAATTGTTACTGAGGGACACAGAATTGTTACTGAGGGCCACAGAACCGTTTACTAGGGCTACAGAAACGTTATCAGGGACACAGAATTGTTACTGAGGGCCACAGAACCGTTACTTAGGGCCACAGAATTGTTTACTCAGGGACACAGAATTGTTACTGACACAGAACCGTTACCTAGGGCTTACAGAAACGTTACTCAGGGACACAGAATTGTTACTCGGACACAGAATCGTTTGAATTCAGGGGAAGAGTATGTCAGACAGAATCGTTGAATTACATGCAGAGGAGTGGCAGAGGAGGCAATGTTTTAGGAGCGAGCAGACGTGGCAGCAGAGGAAGGGGGGGTCGACGGCAGCAGTATTCGCAGCCAGAGTCCAGTGCTAGGGCCCCCGGTGTCATCCAGCGGCATAGACTCCGTGTCTCCACCGACAACCCTGCCTGCCGTCATCGATTGGTTGGCTCGGTCGTCTTCCTCTTCCCAGGTCACCTCTGACACCTACAGCCAACGGTCGGTGGGTACGTCAGACACAACCGTTAGTTGGCATGGCCCGGGAGCAAGCCCACTGAAATCACGTGTCCTCTACCTGCCCCTGTCCTTTGGTGTTCCCTCACCAAGCGAAGTATCGCATGCTGTGGGCTCAGCCCCACTGTACAGTGAGGAAGAGCTAAACAGAGGGCGGTCAGGAACGGGGGGAGACATCCGCCTTTTTTCAGCAGCCAGGCGAAGAAGTACTGGCGAGGAGAGTGGCTCGGTAGCCGGTCTAGAGACAGGTCTGTCTCCTGAACCAGATGCAGCCGAGGGGGCTAGTAGTGAGGCGGAGACCCTACTTGATGATGAGGAGGTTGATCGCACTTGGCAGCCTCGTCGTCATCAGGTAATTTCTTCCGCATCATCAGGAGAAGAGGGTGCCAGCTTGGCAGCGAGCGAAACAGTCGGTGGGTTGCCCAGGAGGCAGCAGGGTCGCAGCAGTGTCAGTGGAGCCAAACGGCCACGGAGTAGAGCACCAGCTCCACTGCAGCCTACCACCACGGCCAGTAGTGGTGCCGGTGCGCACGGAGGAAGTAGCAGTCAGCCAGTGAGGAGTAGCGGGGGCAAAGTTTCCTACTCGGTGGTGTGGCAATTTTTCGTCAAGCGCCGCCCGAGGAAGTAAACGTAGCCGTATGTCGACTATGTGGCCAGAAATGCAAGCGTGGCCAGGGGGGCCCATGTTGGGACTGCAGCGCTGCGTCAGCGTATGCAGCGTCACCATTCGGTGGCCTGGGAAAACCGTGATAAAGATACGGCGGTTTCTGCCTGCCCCAGCCCCCGCTCCATCACCGCTCCGTTACTTGCTCCGTCACCCGACATCGTCAATCGCCTCTATCAGCCAGTCAAGGCTCCAACACCTCTGCTGAGGGGAGTTGTCGCTCGTTGGCATCTTCCGCTCGTTCAGATGCTCCTTCTCCTGCTACTCCTCTTCTCGGATTCCGTCAACAGTCTTTCTTGGAATCCGTTTCCAAGAGACAACAGTTTGCGAGCACGCACCCGACGGTGCAAAAGCTGAACGTCCTCCTGTCCAAGTTGCTGGTGCTGCAGTCCCTCCCTTTCCAAGTGGTGGACTCAGCACCTTTCCGAGAAATGATGGCTTGTGCCTACTTTGCGCCGCAAACAACAGGCTTGGGCCTACTTGGACAGCACCCTGCCAACCGAGGTAGACAATCCCCTTGACTACTGGGCAACGAAACTTGACCTTTGGCCCCAACTAGCTGAATTTGCCCTTGAAAGGCTGTCATGCCCGGCCAGTAGCGTGGCATCAGAGCGCGTGTTTAGTGCGGCAGGAGGTATTGTAACTCCGCGGAGGACACGACTGTCCACCCAAAGTGTGGAGAGACTCAAGTTTGTGAAAATGAATCAGGCGTGGATTAGTCTGGATTTCAAACCACCAGTTCCTGACACAACTGACTAAATCCGCCATGAATCATGCCACAAACATGTGCCACTTTCAGGTCTCCTCACACACTGCTGGTGTGTTCCATTTTTTGTCATAGGGTGCTGGCAGATTACGGGCCTCCCATTGCTGCTGTCTCCATCGCCACACTCTGCCATGTGCCACTTTCAGGTCTCCTCACACACTGCTGTTGTGTTCAATTTTTTGACATAGGGTGCTGGCAGATTACGGGCCTCCCATAGCTGCTGCCAGGCCCCTAATCTGCCATGGGCCCTTGTACCGCCTCCTCATGCTGCTGCCAGGTCCACAGTCTCTCATGCCATGTGCCACTTTCAGGTCTCCTCACACTGCTGGTGTGTTGAATTTTTTGACATAGGGTGCTGGCAGATTACGGGCCTCCCATAGCTGCTGCCAGGCCCCTAATCTGCCATGGGCCCCTGTACCCGCCTCCTCATGCTGCTGCCAGGTCCACAGTCTCTCATGCCATGTGCCACTTTCAGGTCTCCTCACACTGCTGGTGTGTTGAATTTTTTGACATAGGGTGCTGGCAGATTACGGGCCTCCCATAGCTGCTGCCAGGCCCCTAATCTGCCATGGGCCCCTGTACCGCCTCCTCATGCTGCTGCCATGGTCCACAGTCTCTATGCCATGTGCCACTTTCAGGTCTCCTCACACTGCTGGTGTGTTGAATTTTTTGACATAGGGTGCTGGCAGATTACGGGCCTCCCATAGCTGCTGCCAGGCCCCTAATCTGCCATGGGCCCCTATATACCGCCTCCTCATGCTGCTGCCAAGTCCAGAGTCTCTCATGGGTCCCTGTACACGCCTCCCATTGCTGCTGTCTCCATCACCACACTCTGCCATGTGCCACTTTCAGGTGTCCTCACACACTGCTGTTGTGTTCAATTTTTTGACATAGGGTGCTGGCAGATTACGTGCCTCCCATAGCTGCTGTCTCCATCACCACACTCTGCCATGTGCCACTTTCAGGTCTCCTCACACACTGCTGTTGTGTTCAATTTTTTGACATAGGGTGCTGGCAGATTACGGGCCTCCCATAGCTGCCACCAGGCCCCAAATCGGCCATGGGCCCCCGTACCGCCTGGTCACGCTGCTGCTGAGCCCACAGTGTGACCTGGGTCCCTGTACCGCCTCCCATTGCTCCCACTCTGCCATGTGCCACTTTCAGGTCTCCTCACACTCCTGCTGGTTTCCATTTTGTCATAGGTTGCTGTATGGCCTCCCATTGCTGCTGCCTCCACCGCCACCAGACTCCAAGGGCATTTAAATTAAAGGTACAGTGTTCTGCACTAATATTAAGTCTCTCTGAAGCCTAGAAACACCCTTTTTTAAGTTAAATTCACAGCGAAATATATTCGACTCGAATCGAATATTGTCCACGAATTCGCCGAATCAGTCGAATCGAATTTTTGAATACTTCGCTCATCTCTAGTGTGAACGTTATAGCGTCTACAAATTATGGTATAGATACTGTAATGTATGCCTTTTTTTGCTATACAGCGCTGCACTAATTCAAATAATAATTGTGCGGTCATGCAATGCTGTACCCAAACGAAATTTACGTCCTTTTTTTCACACAAATAGAGCTTTCTTTTGGTGGTATTTGATCACCTGTGCGCTTTTTATTTTTTGCGCTATAAACAAAAAAAACACGAAAATTTTGAAAAAAAAACAATATTTTCTACTTTCAGCTATAAAAAAATATATCGTAAACTGAAAGTCATAAATTTAAGCCAAAATGTACTCTGCTACATGTTTTTGGTAAAAAAAAATCCCAATAAGTGTATATTGATTGCTTTGTGTGAAAGTTATAGCGTCTACAAACTATGGTATAGATAATTTGAAATTTACACAGCTTTTACTTTCTGACCGCCCATCACATCTCTTGAGGTGGTAAAATACCAGGATAGAACAGACACCCCAAATGACCCCTTTTCGGAAAGCAGACACCCTAAGCTATCTGCTGAGAGACATATTGTGTCCATGGAAGATTTATTTTTTTTTCCACAAGTTTCTGGAAAATGACAAAAACGTTTTTTGTTTTGTTTTTTTTTTTTTACACAAAATTGTCATTTAAATGATTTATTTCTTGCACAAGCCATGGGTATATGTGGAATTACACCCCAAAATACATTCTGCTACTTCTACCCAGTATGAGGATACCACACGTGTGACACTTTTTTTGGGAGCCTAGCCACATACAGGAGCCTGAAATCCAATGACCACTTTGAAAGCCTGAAGGTGCGTAACTTCTTCATTTCACTTCCCCACTACCTATCACAGTTTCGGAGGCCCTGAAATGCTAGGATAGCACCAAACCCCCCCCCCCCCCCCAAATGACCCCTTTTTGGAAAGTAGACACTCCAAGGAATTTAAAAAGAGGCATGGTAAGTATTTTGCAGATCTCATTTTTTCTCACAAGGTTTTGAAATATAAAAAAGGAAAAGAAAAATATGTTTTTATTTTCTTTTCTTCATTTTCCAAAAACTTGTGGCAACAAATGAGATCTTCAAAATACTTACCATGCTTCTTATCAAATTCCTTTGGGTGTCTACTTTCCAAAAAGGGTTCATTTGGGGGGGGGTTGGTGCTATTCTGGCATTCCAGGGCCTCCGAAACTGTGATAGGTAGTCAGGAAGTGTAATGAGGAAATAAAGCCCTTTAAAAGCCTGAAGGTGCTTATTGGATTTTGGGGTCCTGTACTTGGCTAGACTGCCAAAAAGTCTCTCATATGTGGTACCCCCATACTCGGGAGAAGTAGCAGAATGTATTTTGGGGAGTAATTCCACATATACATATGGCTTGTGTGAGCAATAAATTATTTCAATGACAATTTTGTGTAATTTTTTTTTTTTTTTTTTTGTCATTTTCCAAAAACTTGTGGTAAAAAAATAAATTCTTCTATTGATTCAACATGCCTCTCAGCAAATAGTTTGGGGTGTCTGCTTTCCAAAAAAGGGTTGTTTTGGGGGGTGGGGGCGTTTTATGCCCAGCATTAGAAGTTTATGCCATACATCACACACTCTTCTAACCACCTGAAGACCAAGCCTTTTCTGACACTTTTGTTCACATAAAAAAAATGTGTATTTTTTGCTAGAAAATTAATTTAAACCCCCCAAACATTATATATTTTTTTAAAGCAGACACCCTAGTGAATAAAATGGTGGGTACTACAATTTTTTATGGCACATAGTACTCGCGCAGCAATTTTTCAAAAGCAAATTTTGTTTTAAAAAATACACTTTTTTTACTTTTAATGCATAAAAAACACAATATATTGGCCAATTATTTGGTAAATTATAAAAGATGATGGTATGCCAAGTAAATAGATACCAAACATGATATGCTTTAAAAACTGCGCATGCCCCGTGCAATGGCAACAAACTGCAAACATTTTTAATATCCATAGGCAGAGCTTTAAAAGCCTTTAAAAGCTACCATTTTAGATTTACAGAGGAGGTCTAGTGTTTAGAATTACTGCCCTTGATCTGACGTTCACGGCAATACCTCACATGCATGGTGCAACCGCTGTTTACATAACGGCACAGGGTCAAGGCTTGTGCACACAGGTGTGCGCGCATGGGAGGGACTATTTTTTTTTTTTTTTTTAGTTATTTTGATTTTTTTTTATTATTTTTACATTGTACCTTTAATTTATTTTTTTTTTTAATCACTTTTAATGTTTTAACAGGGAATGCAAATAACCCCTATAACTTCAATGGGCATTGTCATATATTCTTTTTTGAGAAATATGGGGTCTATCAGACTCTAGATATCTCCTCTGCCCTTACATTATCTAATCAAACCAAAATCGGTGTGATCAGATGCTTTTCCCAATTTACAAATGGCGCTGTTTATATCCTGCGAAACTGAAGTGATGAAATTATTATTATTATTATACAGTATTTATAAAGCGCCAATAGTTCTATCATGTACTGACAGAACATTTTGCAAAACATGAGGGGATCGAGGGCCCTGCTCTTTCGAGCTTACAATCTGATGGGATAGTGGTACAGGAGGAGATAGCTGTGGGGGATGGAGTGGTAGGACAAGTGGAGGAGGTCAGCAAGTTAGCAGGGGGTGAGGTAGGCTTCCCTGAAAATGGGTTTTCAGGGTGCGCCTAAAGGAGAGGAGAGTAGGTGATAATCTGATGGGTTGGGGCAGAGTTCCAGAGGATGGGTGACACCCTGGAGAAGTCCTGGAGGCGGGCAAGAGACCAGGGAACTAAGAGAAGGAGTCTTGTGAGGAGCGGAGTGCCGTGCTTGGGCGGTAACTTGGATATTAGGTCAGTGATGTTAGTTCGGGGCAGTATGGTGGACAGCTTTGTACGCAGTGTTGGAATAAAATTTGATAGCCGTTGCGCAATCGGAAGCCAGTGGAGGGATTGGCAGAGGGGGGTAATGGAGCGGCATGCAGGGTGAAAGGTCTGGCTGTATTCCAGGATCCTGATGAAGGTGCGGGGATAGCCGCGCAGCAGGCCAGGAGGAGGGATTGTGAGCATGCAGTAGGAGTCGTGATATGATTTTTTTAGTGGTTTTTTAGTGCGGATTTTGGCGATGTTGCGGAGGTGGAGTCTTTTTTAAAGATTGGACTTGGTTCATTTGGAGCAAACCTACATTCCAGCCCCAAAAGTACACCTGGCCTGCAGAGCGGGTTTGATATTGGTTTTTTATCATTTTGTAGAAGTCATGGGGGTTTCGGGCTGGGGGGAAGACAAGGAGCTTTTTTTGGAGAATTCAGGGAAGTGAGCACATCCAATCTGAATGTCGCTCCTATTTGGGCAGAACCGAAGGTGGGGGGTTGAGAGATAGATTGTGTGTGTGTCCATAGAGGTGGTAGTTGAAGCCGTGAGAGTGTATGAGTTGGCCAAGGGAGGAGGTGTAGATGGAGAAGAGAAGGGGCCCAAGGACAGAGCCTTGAGGGACCCCCAATAGATATAGCTCCTCTGCCCTTACATTATCAGGTAGGAAGAGCCAGGAGAGACAGAATCTCTGAGGCCGAGGGATGTAGTCACTTTTTGAGGAGGAGGGGGTGGTCAACTTGTCGAAGGCCGCAGAGAAGGTCAAGGAGTAGGAGCACTGAATAGTGGCCATGGCTGTTTAGAAGGTCGTTGTTTTGAGTAAGGCGGTTTCGGTGGATGTAGGGGGCGGAAGCCAGACTGTAGGGGATCGAACTGAGGTGAGTGCATAGGGGGTGTAAACTGACGCTCAGGAGTTTAGATGTAAGTGGGAGCAGGGAGATGGGTCTGCAGGTTCATTCGGGTCATTGGGGTCCAGGGAGGGCTTTTTTAAGTATGGGGGTATGTGTGCATGTTTCAGTGGGAAATCTCGGAGCTTCTGAATTCTTAGACTATAGAGATGGTAATGGCACCATTCTGGTCTCCAATCAGCTCCATGGTCAGCTGGCAGAAACACCGGCTGCATTCTCAGGTTCCCCCGATGGCACGGGACTGCCCAAGAAGGCCGTGGAAGGCAGCGGGGGGGAGGGGGCATCATCTCCCGCTGCTTGTAAAAGCAATCTTGCAGCTAATTAGCCACTAGGATTGCTTTTACATGAAAGCCGATCCCCGGCTGAAAAAAACAACACCAGGATGATGTCTGCAGCTGTAGGCATCATCCTGGTATAACCATTCAAATCCAGTGATTTACTAGTACATCGCTGGTCCTTGTTGGTTATATACGCTATGTTTTTTTTTTGTATGCAGCCTGTGGAATGAATGAAAAAAATGAGAAGAACTCTCTGCCAGAAAAAAAGTGAGTGGTATGCCCACCATTAGAATATACCGCCCTGCCCTGCTTCCACCCATTCTAATGGTGGGCACACATTAGGTCACACTTTGCCACAAGTGCCAGTTCCAAGATTGAATAAATGTCTAAAATAGTGGCACCCTTGAATAAAAATTGTCCACGTATAAGTGGTACCCCATATGGAGAAATGATGACACCAAGTCCCAAACTATCTTGTCACTGCTCCCCATGTAATCTGGGCATCCGGGCGGGCTCCACACGTGACTATCTTTTCCCTCGTAAATCCGAAACGTATAAGTATAGCCTGTTGTCCTCTTACAGGTCTTCTACATCTTGACCCCATATCTGGCACGCTTGCTGATAGAAATCGTTTGAATGCAAGGCAGCCAGAAAAATTAATGAGGGACTCATCAACGCAGATGTTTTGCTGGGGAGTATAGACATCTGCAAATTTTAGGTTAAGGTGATTTGCGAGGGGCTGAATTTTGTGGAGCCGGTCAAATTCAGGGTCACGCCGAGGATGACAGAG